AAGAAGGCCATGGACTACTCGTCGTCCAGTGAGGAGGTGGAGAGCAGTGAGGACGACGAGGAGGAAAGCAACGGCGAACCATCAGAGGGCAGCAGAGACACCCCTGGGGCCCGGTATGGGGGCTCCCTGGGGGCGGGGCGCTCCACATCCGAGACACCGCAGAGAAGGGTTGCAGGTTGGGAGGAGCAGGGTGCCTCCAGGGCAAGCCTGAGGGAAAGTGGTTCCCCTTTTCTCTAGGGAATGGGGTGTGGGGTTGCTGTTCCCACCTCTCTCCCGCTGTCCTGTCAGTAGGGCGATGGCCTCTTCGGGTGCTCCTCTGCCACCCACCTTCCCCAAGTGCCGGGCACAGGACACCCAACAGTGAGGCAGATTCTGCTCAGTGAGGGCCGAGGGCGTGGCGTATTGAACAGACTGAAGCTGCAAGCGCTGGGCATCCTGCTCTCGTCTGCTCCCGTGGCACTGGGGTGGCGGGCAGGGCCTGAAGGGCCTCACGACCTCCCTCTCTCCCGTAGCAGCGATGGGGACACAGACAGCGTCAGCACCATGGTGGTCCATGACGTGGAGGAGATAGCCGGGACCCAGACCCCCTATGGGGGTGGCACCATGGTGGTCCAGCGCGTGAGTAGGCACCCCCTTCTCTCCATCGTTGCCGTGACCCTTCTAGGCCCCAGCACTGGCCTCCTTCGCTCTCTTTCTTTAGACCCCTGAAGAGGAGCGGAGCCTGCTGCATGCAGACAGCAACGGTTACACAAACCTGCCGGATGTGGTCCAGCCCAGCCACTCGCCCACCGAGAGCAGCAAAGGTCAAAGCCCCCCCTTGAAGGATGGAGGCAGTGATGTAAGTGGGTGCGGCAGGTGCAGGGCGCGAGGGGAGGACGCTGGCCGTGGGCAGATCCGGGGGTGCTCGGAGGCACTGCGCTGGGTGGGCAGGGCGTCTGGGAGCTGGTCGGCCAGGGTTCCCCTGAGAGGACCTGGGTCCCAGGAACCATCACCGGGGGCAGGCCACTGGCTGGGCTCTCACGTGTTTGCCTGACCGCTGCCCCTCCCCCCACAGTACCAGTCTCGTGGGCTGGTGAAGGCCCCCGGCAAGAGCTCGTTCACGATGTTTGTGGATCTAGGCATCTACCAGCCCGGAGGCAGCGGGGACACCATACCCATCACAGGTGAGGAAGGAAGAACAGATCTGCCATGAGGCCTGAAGAGGAGCAAAGGTGACGCTCCGGTGACATGGGCTCACAAAGCTGTCGCAGCCTCCCCTTGGACCTGAGCGCCTGCCCTGGCACAGAGGCCACAAGGGCTTCTGAGGCCACTTTAACCCAAGAGGGAAAACGCTCAGAGCTGCACAGGAATCTACATGGCAGAACGAGGACTTTTCCAGGTCTCTTAGTTCTGCTTCAACTCCTCCACACACCTCCATTCTCTGGTTTTTTTCTTTCTGAGTATTCAGAGGAGCCAAGACCAAGTATGAGGGCAGGGTAAGAAGAGACAGGGCCAGGGAGCAGCAGCCCACCTCCCTTCCCCTCCCTCCCCCGCAGCTCTGGTGGGAGGCGAGGCCAGTCGGCTTGATCAGCTACAGTACGATGTGCGGAAAGGCTCTGTGGTCAACGTGAACCCCACCAACACACGGGCCCACAGTGAAACTCCCGAGATTCGGAAGTACAAGAAGCGATTCAATTCCGAGATCCTCTGTGCGGCCCTTTGGGGTAAGCCAGGGCCGGGAAGGGAAAGAGGAACCTGGTGTGCCCCTGTGCTCTGGGTCAGGTGAGGGCCCGGCTCTGCCTCTGATCTGCCCAAGGGCTCCTATTGCAGGTGTCAACCTGCTGGTGGGCACGGAGAATGGGCTGATGTTGCTGGACCGAAGTGGGCAGGGCAAGGTGTATGGACTCATTGGGCGGCGGCGCTTCCAGCAAATGGATGTGCTGGAAGGACTCAACTTGCTCATCACCATCTCAGGTGTGTGTGTAGCGGGGGGGGAGTGGAGGCACGGCCGGGAAGAGGGGGCTTGGCTCCTTGGCTCTCTGCCACCATCTTCAGCCTGGGCAGAGGGCAGCTTTGGTCCAGGAGCCAGAAGGTGGGGCCACTTCTTCACCCCTTGTGTTGTGCAGAAAAGGATGGCAGAGAGGCAGGATCTTGACCTTCAGTAAGGAGATGGGTGTGTGTGTGTCCTTGCTTCTCAGGGAAAAGGAACAAACTGCGGGTGTATTACCTCTCCTGGCTCCGGAACAAGATTCTGCACAATGACCCCGAAGTGGAGAAGAAGCAGGGCTGGACCACCGTGGGGGACATGGAGGGCTGCGGGCACTACCGTGTTGGTGAGGAGGTCACAACGGAGTGGCCAGGGCACATTTGTTCACGAGAAGAGAGAAATGGGGGCTTGGGCTCAACAGCCCTGAAGCCAGTGATGTGGGGCCTGGCATTGGGGCTGTAATGACGGACCTCGGGGGGCGGGGCTGGCAGCCTGGGGAGGGAGGAAGGGCCCAGCATCTCTCTTTCCTGCCCCCAGTGAAATACGAACGTATTAAGTTCCTGGTCATCGCCCTGAAGAACTCCGTGGAGGTGTATGCCTGGGCCCCCAAACCCTACCACAAATTCATGGCCTTCAAGGTAATCCCAGCCTCAGCCCCCAACCCTATTCCAAGGTCTGACTCCCACGCCTGCTGCCCTGACCCCTTCTCTCCTCCACAGTCCTTCGCTGACCTGCCTCACCGCCCTCTGCTGGTCGACCTGACAGTAGAGGAGGGACAGCGGCTCAAGGTCATCTATGGCTCCAGTGCTGGCTTCCATGCTGTGGATGTTGACTCGGGGAACAGCTATGACATCTACATCCCTGTCCACGTGAGCTTGGCGGGACTGTGGGCAGAGGGGGGCCACCAGTCTGGGTTCCAGACTCAGGGAGTCCAGCCCAGTGTCTCCTCCTCAGATCCAGAGCCAGATCACACCCCACGCCATCATCTTCCTCCCCAACACCGATGGCATGGAGATGCTGCTGTGCTATGAGGATGAGGGTGTGTACGTCAACACGTACGGGCGGATCATCAAGGACGTGGTGCTGCAGTGGGGAGAGATGCCCACCTCTGTGGGTGAGTGTGGTGCTGGTCCCCAGCTGCAGGCCTTGGGTCCCCCCGAGCTGGCTCGGGCCGCCGCGCACTCACAGCCCCTCATCCCCGCTTCTCCGGCAGCCTACATCTGCTCCAACCAGATAATGGGCTGGGGCGAGAAAGCCATTGAGATCCGCTCCGTGGAGACAGGCCACCTGGACGGGGTCTTCATGCACAAACGAGCTCAGAGGCTCAAGTTCCTGTGTGAGCGGAATGACAAGGTGGGAGCCCCTGCACTGGGTTGGCTTCCACACCCGTAGGTCCCCGCCAAGGAGGCGACAGGCGTGGAGTCTTTCTAATAGGGGGCGCCCTTGGGGAACACAACACTCAGTCGTACCCTGCCCTTCCCTCCCTTCAGTGTCTGAGGACTCTCCAGCTCTTCCACCCCAGAGGCCTAGCAGCCACCCTCTTCCCCAAGCACTTCTGCCCTTCAGGGGATGGTGGTAGCTCTCGAGACACTACACCTTAGTTTCTCTCTCCCTCTCCCCAGTGACTGAGCCCCACCTCCTCGGTGACTTCTTCTCTTTCCCCACCCAGGTGTTCTTTGCCTCAGTCCGCTCCGGGGGCAGCAGCCAAGTTTACTTTATGACTCTGAACCGCAACTGCATCATGAACTGGTGACAGACCCTGGGCTGGGGCTCCCCTCATGAACCCAGCTCCCCCCACAGCCAGACTTCCCAGGCCGCCCTGCTTTCCCCTTCTTGGGCTTTTGCTTTTACTGATTTGATTCACTGGAGCCTGCTGGGAACGTGACCTCTGACCCCTAATGCTTTTGTGATCACGTGACCACCCTCTTCCCCAACATGTTCTTTCCCCAAAACTGTGCCTGTCCCATCTTTTGGGGAGAGGCACAGCTTCCCCTTAACAGGAATTGAGTGGGCCTAGCCCCATCCCCCCTTTTCTCCACTAAAGAGGAGAGCGTTTGGGGCTCGGACCCCGTACCCCACTGCTGCTGACTGGGCAGGGCCCTGGGCCCCTTTATTTGCACGTCAGGGGAGCCGGCTCCCCCCTTGAATGTACCAGACCCTGGGGGGGTGTCACTGGGCCCTAGGTTTTAGGGGGGGGTCACCAGCCACTCCAGGGGCAGGGACCATTTCCTCATTTTCTGAAAGCACTTTAATGATTCCCCTCCCCCCAAATCCCAGGGAATGGAAGGGGGACCCCGCCAGCCAAAACATCTCCCCCTCTACAACCTCCATCTCTTCTAGCCTCTGCCCTTCCCTGGTGGAGGGAGGGAGCAGGGAGCGGTCACCCTCCACACCCACTTGCTTGCATCTGTATATAACGTGAGCAGCAAGTAGCCCTGTTCCCTCCCTGCCCCTACCTCTCCTCATTGTAGTGGCCTTGGATATCCCGTTTGTTAATAAAGACAATTCAACCAGCTCCCACCATTTCAGGCCCCATTTCCTTGTTTGCTCTCACAATCCAGGTACTAGTCAGGACAAGCTAACAGAGTTGGGATGAAGTGGGCGGGGTGGGGTGGAATCTACAGTGTGAGTCTTGCGGGGAGGTAGGTGGGCAGTGCCAGGGCCTCCTCCTCAGCCTGAAACCGTGGGCCTGTGGGCGGCCTGCCCTGAGGGCATTTGGTCCCCTCCCAAACAGGGTCAGGCCAAAGAGACCTGGTTTCCTGGCTCCAGAATCCCTAAGTACCAGCCCTGCAAAGTGGTATCTCCTGTGTGGCTATCAAGTAGATAAAGACAGGTGAGTGGCTCCCAGGGCTACAGGGTCCCATGGGGCTGGGACCTGAGCAGAGCTGGGAGACCATGGTGGCCGAATCTGGGAGGGCCTTTGCTGTCCAGAGTACTGGCATCCAAGAGGCTACTTGAAACACCGTCTGCCGCCTCCTGATCTCTGCACCGTGACCAGACATACCCCCTTGTGCACACACACACACGTGTCTACAAAGTACTAATTCTTTATTAGCAGTGGTAAAGCATCATAATATAGCAGTGGCAGCAACTTGGTTTTCAAAATCTGTTTCCTTGTGGAAATGGATAGGAAAGTTGCCGTCCGTGCGGCCACCGGCCCAGGTCTACATACATGGCGGGTAGGGCAGGTCGGGCACTTGGTTGAAGTAGCCCCCGAGGAAGATGACGCTGGAGCCCACACTGAAGAGCACCAGAGCCGCCCAAAAGCAGATATTGTCAAGGGCCTTCCCCATGCGCATCCAGTCGGACACCTCCTGGGGAAGGGACAGGCACAAGCTGAGTCCGTAAAGGCTGCAGGAGTGTGCCACGCCAGAGCTAGTGCGGAGAGCCTCTGGCTCCTACCCTACCTCGCTGGCGGCCTCCTGGTCTCGCGTGCTCTCGGCCATGAAGTTTACAGCATCCACACAGCAGCGGATCTCGGGGGCGGCGGCACCCAGGCTCTGGCAGAGGGCAGCTGCGGGAAGGGTGGCCAGTAACTCCGGGTCGGTTATTAGAAGCCTTCCCCCACTGCAAGCGACCCCGTTGGCCTACCCGGGCCACTCCGCTCACCGGTCCAGGTGCCGTGCCGGTACCTCTGCCCTTCAAACACAAGCTCGCTCCGCGGCTTTTTCAGTATCAGCTCCTCCGCGCGGAGCAATATGCCCACGGAGGATGCCCGCCTCGGGTGCGAGGCGGCTTGGGGGGCCTCGGAGGGCGCGCCTGAGCCCAGGAGGCGCGGCAGCAGCTCCAATAAGGCCTATGGTAGGGCCCGGGGCGGTGATTAGTTTGAAGTCCCTCCCCCCGCCCGGCCACCGCCCCCCAGACGCTTACGTGACGCAGCCGCGGGGACAAGTCATGAGTAGTGGGCGTCCGCAAAGACACGTTGAGCACGATGACGCAATTCATAACAATGAGTGTGGCAACCACCATGACGAAAATGAGGTACCTGGGGAGCCCGGAGTGCGTGACGTCACAGCCTCCCCAAGCTCCCGGAGTCAGAGTTGGAGCCGCGGGTCCTCTGACCCCCGCCACCGCAGGAGGTGGGGTGAGGCCTCCCTCGGCTCAGGGCGCGTCCTCCGCGGGGCTGCACGAGTGACCCGGCCATTTCCCCGCTCCTGCCGCCCGCAGCCGCCATGAAGTGTACCCCCAGCTCCCTGGAAACCCTGCTGGGGGTCTACCACTTCCACAGTTCCACGGCAGTGAGGTGACGCCGTGGCCCGGCACCTCGAGGCCCTCCGGGAAGGTCTCCAGCAGCCCCACCGTGGCCTCTGTCCTATGACCCGCTTGCTCCACTGCCCTCGCTGCTTCTCCGAGCGGCCCTCCAGCCCCCTCTTCTGTCTTCCCTGGAACTCGCTGTGGCCCTAGCTCAGGAGGATCTGCCGCAGAGGTTCAGGGAGCTCAAGTCCCTGGAGCCGCTGGAGCCGCGAGAGCCGAGGAAGCCGCGACCAGTGTCATGAACTTTGGCGCCACCTTGTTAGAGGTGGGGTGCTGGGGGGCTGAGGAGCAGCAGGGAAGGGAGATAGGGTCCTCTGCAGCCCCCAATTAACCCTGGTATCCCCAATGAAGATCGCAGCCCTTTGGCTACAGCAGGAGGTGCGGTGACTAGACAGCGACGGCAGCAGCCCGGGCCCAGCCCCAGACGGCGGGGACCCTGACAGAGCGCTGGCCCCGGTAGCCCAGGCCGCAGGGCAGGGGGCTCGGCGAGCGGGCGCGGCGGGCTCGAGCGTCCGGCTCCTGCTCCAGGGGGCGTGGCTATGCCTACGTGGACAGGGTCTGCCGAGGGTCCGCCTCATCTGTGCAGCAATGTGGACGCCAGCTGACCTCGGAACCCCCGGAACCCGTGGAGAGGTCGGCATGGGACGGTGGGTTCGGGGTCAGAGGCCGCGCGAAGTGAGGCTCCGAGCTGTCTCCTCACCCCTCAACGGAGATACTCAGGAGACCTTAGGTGGCGTCCAGCAGCAGGGCGGAGGACGTACCAGAGAAGCCTCCATCGACCCAGCCTCACCCGGCGTTCAAATAAAGGGACAAGTCAGCGAAGCTGCTCCGACCCTGTTTGGCTTTGGCCTCGCCCACCCCGACCGCGCCCTTCCTGGCTCCACCCCGTGCCAGCCTGGCCCCGCCCCTTGCCCTAGCCACGCCCCCACGCGGGGACTGGCGGGTCCCCCTGTGCCCTCACCTGCCCAGCAGCGGCACGCTCAGAGACGTCTCTGGGGTTTTCTGGGCAATTAGGAACAAGAAGACGGTCTGGGCGAGTAGGACGTTGATGGATACGGTGCATTTCTGGCCACCGGCTGGAGGGAGCGCCCAGTAAGAGCAGCTGTCCCTCTCCTCCCCCGAAACGGGCCTGGCTTTAGGGTTAGGGCGACTCCTTACCCTGCGCCGGCAGGAAGTAGGCGAGCAGCACCAGGCCTGAGATTAGCACGCAGGGCACAATGATGTTAATGATGTAGAAGAGCGGCTTCCGGCGAATAATGAGCGTGTAGATGACGTCAGTGTCCCCTGGACCATCAGCGGAGCCACTGTCCTGGCGGCGGATCACCCCGGGGCAGAAGTCGATGGCCCACTCGCCGTTCTCTGCGGGACGCGTGGCGCGGTCAGCCTGCTCTCAGGGTTGGGGCGCCCTGCTCTGAGGCTCCGCACCGGAGGGTGGGAGCCCATAACCCCCGGCAGAAGAGAGTATGGCAGTAGTCCGGACCAGGGTGGGTGGGAGCAGGTGGTCTGGGCTGCTTGGGCCACGGGCCGTCGGCAGGAGGGCAAATAGCGCACGAGCAGAAAGGGGTACACGCGGTGAGGTACGGAGCGACCGCGAGGAAGTAGGACTACTCCGGCAATCGAGAATGATTTCAGGAAAGGGGCAAATTAAAGCGCGGTTGTCAAAATCAATCCCTAGTATTGGTGGTCTGGGGCAGCCCCATTTTGCAAGTCGCTTCTCTGGACCCGCCTAGAAGCGGGTTTTTCGGAACAGGAGAGGACCTCACCAGTATAGGCCTCAGTGTCGATATCGATCTTGTTGATAGTTTCGCCGTCATCATCCACCGCAAAGACGAACTCTACCTCTTCGGCATTGTACGTCTGAGAGCTGCGGAGCCAGGGCGGGAGTCCGCACCCCTGAAACTCGGACCCAGGTCCTAGCCTCGGGCCCTGCTCAGGAAGCTGGGATCGGGCTCTAGATAATAATGCCCCACCCCCATTACCCAGATCGAGTTTAGGGATTTCCACTCCCTACTTCTAATTCCCAGGAGCAGCCCCTACCCTCTCTAGAGTCTGGCTCCGCCCCCAGCACAAAGCCCCGCTCCCACATTAGAGTTGCCCTCCGGGCCCGTCCCCTGCTCGCCTAATCCCGTAATCGTCCTGGCCCTCTCAGTAACTAACTGCCCACCGGAAAACGAGCGAGCAGTTCTGCCAGTCGAAGGGGAAATAGGTGACTTCCACGGCGCAGGTGCTGCGGTAGATGGCCGGGGGCAACCAGGTCACGTAACCGCCTTCATAGACCAGCACGTTGGCGGCGTGGGCCACGCCGAACTGGCCGTCAATACTGTGGGCTCCCAGAAAGCCAGCGTTTGCGGAGGTCCGCGGCCCCTCGCCCTCCAAGCAACACCCCCCACCCCACCCCAACCAGGTCCAACCCAGCCCCCTCAGGCCTCGGCTTCCTTCCAGCCTGGCTTCCGCTCGGTTCTCACTTGTTTTCCAGCACAATCTCCGGTAACCACACGAGTTTTGAAGGGACCCGCAGGGTTGTTATGCCCCCAAAGTCGTCCTTGCTGAAGTTGAGTCGGTAATCATGCCAGTCCTAAGGGGGGAAGGCGCAGGACCTGGGCCTTGCGTCTCCCACCGGGCGCTTGTGAGTTTGGGAGAAAGGGCTCCCCGGGGACAAGACTTCACACTGACCCCCAGATCTGACTCACGATTCCAATCCAGACGCTGGTGGTGAGGGTCTCCTCTTTCTCGTTCTGCGCATGGAAGATGAGGGTGATTGAAGTGGATTCCAGGGCCAGAAGTGAGCTTTAGGACAGAGCTCAGCGGCTGGGGCCAGAAGTGGAATTTGAAGCTCAGAGATGGTGCTAGGAGTGCTAGTGAAGTATCTTACCAGTGAGATGAGGTTGGTCAGGGTGACCTTGAGGTTGATGGTGACAGTGTCCTCAGACTGCCTCACTGGCCTGTGTCCTGGGTCATAGTCGTCGAATAGATGATGATAAAGGCGCAACTCCTCATTCGTCCCCTCACCTCTGCCTGGGGATGGTGTCAAGCAGTGGAGTCACTAGAGAGGAAGAGGCTAGGGGTCCTCTCCCCTCTGTCCCCTCTGGGTCTGTGTAGGGCTCTGCGTCTTTGTGTCTGCCTCTGAGACTGTATTTTTCCATGTATGTCTTCTTAACCAACGATACTGTGTCTGGGGACCAAATGTTGCACCCCAGTCTACATCCTAGTTTCCGTCTGCCTTGCTTCCTCATGTTAGTGTCTCCGTGTGTGTGTCCAACCACCTCCCCCGACCCCTGTTCATACCGAGAAGCTGCAAGAGGAATAGGGCGCTGAGCAGAGCCCCAGCCATCCCGCTGTCTGGTCCTCAGGGTTATTCTGAGCTTTGGCAGGCCTGGAGCCGGGCAGGCCAAGGCGTGTGAGTGAGGGGGCGGGGGGTGTTAGTTCCGGGCTGGGTTAGGGGACTGTCACCTAATCCTCTTACCACCTCTACTGCAGCCAGGAACATCTTGTCTGCTTCCAGAGACAGCTGTCTCATCCTGTGTTCCCTGCCCCCACCCCACCTCAGCATCCTTTGCCTTATCTTTGGCTACCTCCGCCAGCCACAAATCTGATCTCGTGACTGGAGCATGCTGGATTCAGGTGAGCAGGTCCTTTAAGAGCGCCTGGAACCACAAGCCTGGCAGTAGGGGGATGGGAGGCCTTGCTTTCAACATGCACTCGAGTCCTTTAAATAAGCGGCCCTGTGCAGGTGACACCCCTTGCCTCCCATACTCATCCATGTGGAACACACAGTACCCCCCACCCCCAGCACAGGCAAGGTCACACGAATGCAGTTTCTGCTGGCACAGTTTGGCAAAAGCAAAGTGTCTGTAAAGACCTAGTAATGAGAAGTCACAGGGGTTAGTCTGCAGTAACAGACTCCACCTGGCAAACATAACCATGCTGGAATACAGGGCCCACCTCCTCCTACAACCCACTCCCATGTCTGCCACCCCCAACCCCTCTCTGTGGGCGCCTGCCAGACGCGCCAATTTCTCCTTGCCTCTGTGAGTGTGCGCGGCCAGTTTCTGTCTGCTGCCATCTCGTGGCCACATATGATAATACCTTCTTCCCTACCCCAAACATACACACTTTTCTTTTTTTAATTCAACGTATTGGGGTGACATTGGTTCATAGGGTCATATAGGTTTCAGGTGTACATTTCTGTTATACATGATCTGTATATTGCATTGTGTGCCCACGACCCAAAGTCAAATCACATTCTGTCACCCTATAATTGGCCCCCTTATCCTTTACTATCCCCCCACCCCCTTCCCTCTGGTAACCACCATGCTGTTGTCTGTCTGTGATCCTTTCAGTGTTTCTTATTGCTCTTAGAGAGGAAGGGAGACAGAGAAATATCGATGGGAGAGAGAAGCATTGACCAGCCCCCTCCCCCGCAACACACACATACATGACCCAACCAGGGATCGCACGTGCCCAGACCGGGAATCGAACCAGTGACCTTTCACTTTTCAGGACATGCCCAGTCAACTGAGCCACACCGGTCAGGGCTGCTTACATATATAGTTCCGAGAATACCCTGTCATGATCCCATTCTCACTGCTACAACTAAAAACGCATTCTATCCTCCCCGGCAAGGTCGGAACGTGACGTCTTGCTTCCAGAAATGATTGTGGCAGGGGCCTTTTGAAAAAAGCTTTCAACCTCATTGTCCACAATGTCCTTAGTTTTACTCTTCCAGGTGTAATTTCCATCCATTCTGCAATATATGGGCTAAATCCTCAATTTAATCACCATCACTACATCATGTATAAAACTCTCTCTCTCTCTCTCTCTCTCTCTCACCGCTTACATCATACAAGAAAAGATACAGTGATGAGGCAAAGCCACATCTGGACCAACAGCCTGATTGCGGAAGAGCAGTCTAGGGTGGAGGAAGAGTGAGTAAAAATCCTCATCCCTTGCTGCCCAAGCCCCAGGTGTTGCTGCTTGGGTCATTAGCGCAGCAGACCACATTTGACACAGAGCGCTTTGCTGTGCTGGGTCCTTACTCAGACCAGTGAATCCCACCGGCACCTCTAGCAAAGTCAGCACATCAGAGACCTTCCCCTAGGGAGCCACTAGGAGGGGCGCTCACCCCTCCCCTCTTCCCTTCCCCACTTCGGGCTGCAGTCCATCCCACCTGTGCTGGCTCAGCGCTAAGCTACCTCCCACCGCCACCCCTCCCCTCCCCCTTCCTGTTTGCTTTGCTCAGGATCACAATTGCCTGAGGGACTGAGGCTTTCTTGCAAGTAGGTGGAGTCAGGCACCTAACTCAGACCTGGTTGTTGTCGTTGTTTTAAAAGATTTTATTTATTTACTTTTAGAGAGAGGGGAAGGGAGGGGGAAAGAGAGGAAGAGAAACATCAGTGTGTGAGAGACACAGCAATCGGCTGCACAGCCCCAACTGGGGACCAGCCTGCAACTCAGGCACATGCCCTGATGGGGAATCGAACCAGCGAGCCTTCAGTTCACAGGCCGGCACTCAATCCATTGAGCCATACCAGCCAGGGCCTTGATTTTGTATTTTTATAATAAAAATTCTACAGAACCTTAGCAGGCTGCCTGACAATTTTGTTTCTGAGGATGCCTTGACTTCTAAGCTAGACCCAAAGATCTGAGCTCAACAGGAAGCCACTCCCTTCACCTGCAGCTCTTGGCTGGTAAATCAGAACAGCTGCAGCTGCCCCCATTGGCTGGGCCTGCCAAGCTTCTCTTTCTTAGTCATCAGTGTCCTCCCAGTGGAAATATCCCCACGCTGCTCTGATGAGCCCCTGCTGCGTGCACCAAAAAGAACCCCGTTTCCCTTTGTAGGACAGGGACAGCACACACTGACTTCTAAACTGTCTCCCTCACTGGAACCTAAGCTCTCTGATTACTGAGAGCTTGATGGTTCACTGTGTTCAAGCCACATAGCACACAGCCCAGTGTATAACAGGCACGCAAGAAAGATTCACTGAGCAAATGAATAAGTGAAAGAATGAGCATCTTCAAATATACGATGACAGAAGATTATTTGACTTTGGGTGGTAGGCAATGCAATATACTCATCACGTATCATAGAAATATAAACATGAAACCTATATAATCTTATTAACCAATATCACCCCAATAAATTTAATTTTTTAAAAAAATGAGTGCTTTATCTTCTCAGCACCCTTCCTTCTACTGAAAACTGTTCTCCAATCATGTGACTCCAGAGGGTCTCCCAGGTACTTAGAGACTCCCCAACTCCGGCTAGCATTGATAGACCCAGGAAGGAACACCTGATCCAAGCCAGGTAAGAGAAAGCTCTCCCCTGAGAATTTTGTCAAGCAGAAACTGAGGCAGTCCGTCTCCCTTTGCTGTAGGAGCCGCAAGATGAAAAATTTAGGTGCACAAGGAAGCCATGTTCATTCCTCATCTTTCACGTGACTGAGAGAGAAGGCAGCCGATGTAGAAGGACAAGTAGAGGCAAGAGCAGGTCTCCAGCATCCCAGCCCCTGGCCCCAGAAGCTCCAGAGGTGCAGCTGTGCCTGTCTCTTTCCGCAGGCTGCTTGCCCAATACATTATTTTTCATTTTTAAATATTTTATTTATTCATTTGGCAGGGGGGAGGGAGAGAAACATCCATGTGTGAGAGGAAAGATCAGTTGGTTGCCTCTCATATGTGTCCCAACCATGGACTCGCCACAACCCAGGCATGTGCCCTGACTGGGAATCGAACCAGCAACCTTTGGGTTTGCAGGCTGACACTCAATCCACTGAGCCACTTCTTGGTTAGGATTTTAAAAAATAAACTAGTATAATGTAAACAAAAATGCCTCATAAAAATGCCAGAAAAACCCTTCTGGCAGGAAGAAGTAATACATGTTATCACTAGAACAACTGAGGAGTGCAGAAAGACATAATGAAAATCAAAAGCTTTCTTGTTTCCACTCCATCTTTATCTCAAAGGTTAACTGCTTTGGTTAAGGGTAAATCTTCCTAGACCAAAGTCCAGCATATGTAAGTTTATATTTAACATATGTGTGTGCGCTAACAAAAAGCATCAGACTATGTTTGCTATTCTGCAACTTCTTGTCGAGATTGGCCCATGTCAGTACTTAAAGTTTTTCTTGTTCTTTTTAACTGCTGCACGGTGTTCACTTGTCTGAATGTGATAGATAATTTATCCAGTTCCCAATGGATAGACATTGAAAGTACTAACCTTCTGGGGTTTTGCAATAACATACTATGCAACAGCAAATATACTTATGCATTTACCTTTGGCATACTTTTGCAAATATATACATAGGGTTAATTTCTAGCAGTGAAATTGCTGGGGCGAAGAGTTCATGCATTTTTTAAATGTTTATTTATTGATTGATTTTAGGGAGAGAAGAAGGAAGGGAGAGAGAAACATTGATTTGTTGTTCCACTTATTTTTGCATTCATTGGTTGATTCTTGTTTGTGCCCTGACCGGGGATCGAACCCACAAGCGTGGTGTGTTGCTATGATGCTCTAACCAACAGAGCTACCTGGCCAGGGCCATACTTTTTTTTTTTTTTTAAACTGTTGATGCCTTTTGCCAAACTGTTCTCCAAAAAAGCATTCACACCAACAAAGTATGAGAATGTCTGTGTCCTCCTACCCTTCCCAGCAGAGAACATTATCAAATATTTTTCTCTTGTTTTCAAAAATCTTTATTTATTTTTCAATTACAGCTGACATCTAATATTATTTTGTGAGTCTCAGGTGTACAGCATAGTGATCAGACATTTATATAATTTACAAAGTGATCCCCCCCTGTAAGTCTAGTACTCACCTCACACCATAGTTATTATTGACCATATTCCTATGCTATATTTTACATCCCTGTGACTATTCTGTAACTACCAATTTGTATTTCTTAGTTCCCTCACCTTTTTCACCCAGCCCCCACAACCTCCTCTTACCTGGCAACCATCAGTTTTTTGTTTTTTGGGTTTTGTTTCGTTTTGGTAATCTATGGGTCTGCTTTTGTTTTATTTGTTCATTTATTTTGTTCTTTAGATTCTACATATAAGTGAAATCATAATGGTATTTGTCTTTTTCTGACTTATTTCACTCAGCACAATGCCCTCTAGCTTCCTTCATGATGTCACAAATGGCAAGATCTCATTCTTTTTTATGGCCAAATAATGTCCCATTGTATATATATACCACATCTTTTTTATCCAGTTGTCTACTGATGGGCACTTAGGTTGCTTCCATATCTTGGCTATTGTAAATAATGCTGTAATGAACATGGGGTGCACATGTCTTTTTGAATTAGTGTTTTAGATTTCTTTGGATAAATATCCAGAAGTGGAATTGCTGGGTCAAAAGGTATTTCTAATTTTAATTTTTTAGGA